GGGGGGGGGGGGGGGGGGGGGGGGGGAGTCTTGAGCTTGGTGTGTGTCTTTCTCGTTTCCGTCGATCCCGCTGAAGTGGTTGACGCTACCCGCCTCGCTCGTATGAAGCAGCGCAAGAGGCACATGTTTTTTTCTCGTAATTTTCCACACGGTATGATCGTTTGTCCGCTTGGCACATGCGCTTAGCGAAATGTGTGCAGTTCGAGGACATTCTAGATGTACAGGTTGAATAGGCGAAAGCAGGTGGCACTCTATCTCACCGCACCATGGGATACGTGGCGTATGCGGAGCCCACGACCGAAAAGACAAAGCACTGCATCCAGTCATTGGGTGTATGTTTCGATTGTCCCCAATATACTGGCAGTAGTCGATTTTAGTTCTTCCCTTGAGTCGAGGTAGATCCTCGATGTTGAAACTTACGCGCAACCTATTGTTGGGAAACCCCGTGTTTCGCCTCGACGTTGTGTGAAGGTCTTGACGGGCATCAAGCTCATGGCCGACTCGTGCACGCTGCACCCGGAGGCCGTAATCTCGAGCTCGGCGGCGGCGTCCTGGCTTCGTTCGCCGGTGGATGGCGCTCACAAGACACGGGTGCGCCGTTATTGCTGCTTGTGTGCCTTGTTTTCTTCATTAGCATCGACCGAGCTTTCTGGCTGGCCAATGAAAATCGGCGGTCTCCCCGGGGGACAAATACACAACCCGTTTCTATTTGGTCGAAGGGTAGTTCATTCACAACCCGGAGGTCTTGTGGCGGGGGCCTCATTTGGTGCTCGGGAGCTTTGGGGTGGCACTGCTTTGGCCTGCTGAGCCAAGGGTTTTGGTGATGTTGACCATCACCGCCTCGTCGGGGTTGTGTACTTATGTGTGTGCCCTTGGTCGGTTGCTGAGTGCACGCCGAACGCCGTTCATGGCACGCAATGCATATCGGCTTCGAGTGAGTGTCACTGTATGTTCGTTGTTTGCGCTCTTTGTGTTGGGGAACAGAATGGAGTCGGCTGAGCCTCAGACGGCCAAACATTGGTTGTTTTAGTCTGTTGACCAAAACGCACTACACGTGTTGTGCTAACCCAACCTTGCCAATCCTTCCGCGAACGTTTTCGACCCGTTGACCCCGCTGGAGCAGAAAGAGCTCTCGCTGGAGAAGCTGTCGACGATCGAGCGTTTCACGCTTTGGAAGGGGAGAATAGTCTAATATATCATCCACCCGTGGCCGCGTAGCGACGGAGGGTACGTGCTGTGCCTCGGAAACGCGAAATCGTTCTCCGTAGGCGTGATTGAAGCCACTTGGATGTTCGAAGGGCATCGTCGAGGGGCATCTCGGGCTCTTCGTTCTGCCTCCCGGACGCGTGTGGTGACAATGAAGGGAAGATGACGGTGTTGGCTCTGGGACCGCGATGGCCGATCTTGCTTCGCATGGGGCGTGGAGCCTTTGACCACGTTGATTGCCAACGGGTGGGGATGACGAAGACATGCTTTGGTTGTTGGCAGCTGGCTGGTGTCGATTCGGCATATGGCTGCACGATTCTGCTGCTACCGTCTAGGCTTGTCGGACACGCTCCCCCTCTGGGCTTGTGTCCTTGTCGGAGAGTGGAAAGCACGTGAGGGCTAGGGGTGGCGCGGCCTCGGTTTGGCCACGTGCACATGCCCTCGAACCCGGCCCGACTGTTTCAATTCAACGGCATGACAGGGAGGACACAGCAACGCCATATGTGACATTGCTCCTGGTACAGTTGTCGACTGGCCTGCAACGCCAGTAACCGTTACACGTACTTCACGGTTGTACTTTGCTAGCCGCACGAGCGACCGGGGTATATCGGGTATTGAGTCCGTGATACCTGCACTTGCTTGATAGGGTCCCCCCCCCCGTAACTCGAGGCAACGCTCGTGACGAGCAGGGCCGTGTGTCTTCACGACGATCCCATTTATTGAAAATTGAGTCGTTGGAAGTCGCTCGGACCTCCGGCTCCACTTGTATACTCCAAGGAGAAGTTCCGTAAACCCACCGTACGTACCGCCTATTTGCGGGTACCATTCCTCAGTGGCGATACCGCACAGCCACTCCAATACCATCATCCTCGTTGTACATGTACGTTTTTTGCTTCCGCATCTGTGCTTGTCCACTCCCACCCAAACACTCACCGCATCATTTTTTTATATTCCCACTTGCATTGCCCGGTTGTGGAGCCTTTGTTGCTGAAATTATGGACTCTGAGGCTTTGCCTTTTTGGCTCCTTGACTCTCGCTGGGATGTGTGTTGGCGGTCGTTACATTTATAGCCACAGCTGTACACGTCGCATTTTACCGCCAATAGTGGTGTGGGTGATGTTGAACGCGGGCGATTTCAGAGCAATGGGCACTGCTATCTGTGAGTTCCGCAGCGACGTGTCTGGAGGGGGAGGTCTTCGGTGCCCCGCCTCTCGCCGCCGCTGTCCAACACGTTGAAAGGCAGTACCATGGTGGTGTTTCGTGTGCGTTCTGCATTTGTCAAGTAAAGCTTGTGCAAGGCCAAGGGTACATGCGCGAACGAAAACCCGGGTACAAATTTAGTCTAGGGGGGGGGTATCGCGGCGATTTTCCCGAACCACAGAGAACGAAAACAGCGAATCATTTGGGTGAGCGTTGGGACCTTCCGACGTTAGTATTCTTGTGCTGTTGGACAACACACATCAGACAGCAGCGCAGCTACGTGCATCGTGTAGAGGCATGCAAGCATCAAGAGAGTTGATGCAAGCGTGCACCCACAGGTGATACTGCTGTTCACAACGGAGTCTATCCCGTAACTAACAGGGCTAGAAGCTGTTCCAGGAGGATATCCGGGGAGTGAACGAGAGGCTTCCTAGGAAGGCCTTGGGGTCGAGGAGTCATGTCCGCCACCTCTCGGGGTCTCCGACCTCAGAGAGATGACGATATTCACACACAGGGAGAGCAGTAGCAGCAGTACCAGCAGCAGCAGCATCAGCAGCAACCTCCGCGAGAATACCTCAGCATAGAACGCGGAATCTCCTGTAGAAGAAGTGTTCTCGCCTCAGCCACACTCCCCCGGTTTTCGAGGTGGGGGTGCAGTATTGCTATCCATTTTTGTTCGTTCACGCATGCCATGGGGGGTACTTACTGTCCAATTTTGTTCGTTCACGCATACCATGTACCTTGGGATACCCTTGCCAAGCGTGTCATGTGCTCGTGTAAGTTCATGTCTTGATTTCCGTCGAGCTTTCTTTCGTGGAACAGCCTCACCGGAGAGCGAAGAAGGTGTTCGAAAGCGGATGCTCACCCAATCCCACAAAAAAGTTCTGGAAAACGGCTCTTTTGTTTGCAAGCCGACTGTGTGTTGTTTGAAGGAGTAATCCGAGAACATTCCCCGAAGGCAGTTTTCACTCTTCTCATGTTCCGCCCTTGAGATGCTAACTACAGCAAAAGTCCATTGCGTCGACGGTCACATGTGAGAACACGCCCCAACTGTCAACGCGTTGATGCGACCAAAGGGCTTCTCTACAAGGGTCAGGGACAAACAGATCGGACTACAGTAGGTGAAAAGTCGCGATTAGGGGCACGATAGCGCTGGGCGCCTACCGCCGCAAGCCGCATGTCCCGACCTTTCGTAAACACCTGCGCCGAGAAAGTGATTCAAACCTCGACACTGGCAAGAGCCGGATAGATTGCGTGTATGCGTAAGTTCGGATGAGTTTCACGAGGACGGTGTTTTCCCTGAAGTAGTGCCAAGCGTTCACCAATGCATTGCGCGAACCCGACAGCAATGCTTGGGATCCACACATAAACGGGACACCCGCAAGGCATGCTAGTTTGAATCGACCCAACAAATACACGCGGGCAAGCTCGCTAGCCCACATACATAGTTTTCGAAACAAAAATTGTAGTTTTTCACTTCGAGAAAATTGTTGGTTGTACATTGTATGCTGCCACGACCTTTCACTTCGGGACTGGGGAATCCTGACTCTGCACCTTTGGAACATGTTCAATGGGACACACCAAAATGAGGCGGCGTTCTTTCGGCACATCGTGCTAGGACTTCAGGGTGAGCACGAGAACATGAGGGATAGATGCATAGACTACATGTATCCCAAATCCAAAAACGCGCCTCCGCCGCTATCGTACGAAGTCGATATTGGAGGATGTGATACGTTCATTCATGAAACGACGACCAAACTGTTCACAAAACTGACGATAAAGTTGCCAACTGCTGTGGGCGCACCACCAAAATAACCTTGCCGAGAAAAAAGGCTGCTGAGAGAATGCTGAGATCCGACTAGAGTTAGCACCCGCAAAAACGAACCGCTTATTTCAGGTCCAGCCTCAAATTCTTCTAATTGTGGGCAATAAACTCAGCAATTGTCTTTCAACTTCTCATGTCAAGTTTCTTAGTTTTTCGTGCCGCCAAATCCTGCTGAATTTCTTCAATCGGCATTTGTTTCATTCTCTGCTTGCTTACTACATGGCACGACGAACGCTCAAAATAAACAAATGATTTGCCTTCACGAGAGCTGGCGGAGAGCACCATCAAAACCGCGCAGCAGACAGCATATCGTGGTTCGCAACCTGTCTGGTGTGCTGTGCCAGAGCCGGAGCGCCAGAGCCGGCAGGGGGTCGGAGGGGGCGCCGCAAAACAAGCACACTCCTCCCTCGTTGTACAACAAACAATGCACTATGGGAGGGGGGGGGGTAGTGGGAGAGGGGGGAAAGAGCGAGAGATAGGAAGAGCTGTGAGGTGTTGCTTAGTCGACACACTCCCCCGTAACCCCTCGTTTCTTATGAAGTAGGGCAGCGGTCGCCGCTTTTTCTTATCGAGGCGTTTCATATGGTTTGACCAAGACTGAGCTACGTTTCTTAACCCTATTTTCTTATTTTTCGTGGCAAAGTGAGCCTCAATTTCTTGCAAAAATATTTCTTAATTGCGGGCGCTTAATGTACTGCCACCAAAATCAAGCAAAAAGATTCTCCGTTGTGATATATCCAGCCACCACCATACTGTACAGATCGATCAAACACGCCACGGAGCACATGGTGTCGAATTTCCGTGCGCTAGGCCCGAAGCCGATCCCGAATGTTTCCACCGCCTCCAAGGGAGGCCTGAGAAGGTACAATAATAGTCCGAAACAAACGATTCGGCGGCCCCTACAAGTGCTACTCGTTTAGTTCTTCATCCTCCCAAACATTCTTGATCGGACGGCCACGCCATCTTCGGGGGAGGGTGAACCGAATCACTGGGCTCCCCCGATGCACCTTGTCGTACCGGCTCTTAGGGCCCTGCATTGGCCGAAAAAACTGTCGTTGGACCAGGGCAAGTGTTCGGCCGCAGGAATGCCCATTCCCCTCCCGAACAAAGAATGTAGATTCAACGAAAAGCATTATACATTGCCGTGTACCGCTAGCCATAGCAGCGAATTGTCTCCGTGGCCTCCTTGCGAGCGTCTTGGCCGCCCTTTTGGAGGTACTGTTTTCGCCAGCGTGCGGCAGACATGCCGGGAGAGAATACAATGCACGGTGGCCGGCCGTGTGCAACACGGACAGTCACCGTGTCCAGAGCAGAACATGAGTGAGAGAGCGAGAGAGAGAGAGAGAGTGAGAGAGAGAGAGAGAGAGAGAGAGAGA